TTTCTTCTCAACATGTATGTGGTTTTATTTGTAACTGCTCTGATATCCCGCATCCTAGCATTCAAGACTAAGATTTCTACAGAGCAAGCGCTTGAGGCATACCGGCTGCTATTCTCTAGAACGCGACAGTACGTCCTGGTAAGCTCTGCCGCTCACTCGTAGAAGACTTTTATACGCAGCTGAAAAACAAAGTGGATTTCGAAATGCTTCCATTTGAAATCAGAGTTGCTGTTTATAGTAAGTTGGAGGTAGATTCAACGTGATCCTGGGAAAAGCATAGTTGTAAATCAGACAAATTGTACAGTTGGCAACGACTTTATTGATAGACCCACAACGCAATTAGTCTCTAACACTTGGAACAATAACACCTCTATATCCTAATTTTCCCCCGTATACAATCAAGTTTGATCTGACGTCGATGTCGTGCAAAGAGACGCTCGAGTGCAGTTACTCGTCGCTTCATTTTGGTCGACACATCCTGAAATTGGTAATGGTAAAATCAGTAGGAGCTGTTAACGAGCCCTGCATATGGGACTCTTCAATTTTTTATCGATTGGTGACTTCATTCAAATTCTCTTCAGCATACGATACCGATCCTGCTTTAACCCTTACCGAAGTAATACAAGTAATTCTAGTCCTTCTATGATAGATCCCATTTAGACAAAGCACATGAAGAGGACAATTGCCTGGATGATCTTATAATTGAATTGACAAAGGCTCCATCTGATAACAGGAGGAAGCTGTAGGGATAGCACACTTCGTCATTTGAGGGTTTTTTTTCCATGTGCGAGTGAAAACCTTTTTTCGCGATACTGGACGGAAAATAGACTCATGGCGCATTCTTGTCACATTTTACGACATCGGTGATTTTATATTCTAGCCTTGTTTAGGATATAGCCGATCTCGTCGTGATCAGCCGGGCCAGGTGTCTGAAGGGACGGAATAAACCCTGCCTTTTTCACCTTGATCGATTTATGAAGAAAGCATCTGGTAGTAGAGAACTGCGCAGGTGGGCTCATTACGTGCCTCTTAATACGCCCCTACATCTTGCGACGCAGATGGAAAACTGCTGTAAAACCAGCGAATGGTACGAATTTGTTCCTCAAGGCACCGTAACCTCCGGAAATGAGTAACATACGCTAGGGAAGGTGAAGGATGGGAAAGGAGGAAGGGAAAGGAGGCAGTCGGACGCGTCCCATCGTCAGGCTATCAATATGATTCCATGGCCTGAATCACTTTGAGCGTTGGCAGCACTTGACAGCTGGCCGATTTCAGAAGCAGATGCGATCAGCATGTAATAGGAGAGGCGCCATGACGGCCGCAAGAAACATGTGGTCACTTTCCCACTTCTCCCTAGCCGGCAACTGTCCACAGATACGCGGCCGGCGACGCGCTCACAACAACGTTGCCCATTTCTGGGGTATAGGGGTTTGGAGTGTATATACGACAGACAGTATCATAAGTATCACATAAAAGAATCACTCACATCGAATGAGGCGTACATATTATTCAGCTGACCGTCGAGATCCCCTATCTGGACCTTCATCCGACTCAACTGTTCCTCCAAAGACAGCATAGAGCATGGTTGGTCGGTCGACTCCATAGTAGTGTCGTCAGCCAGTAGATTGCGAGATCTCAGCATTTCCCGTGCTGAAATGAGTTTGTGGGACATCATGATCAGATTTTCTCGGCGGACAGGAATACTGTGGACAACGCCTCGAAATACGGAATCGATTTCTTTTTGTAAAAATATGTTTCTATACAAAATTCAGCGAGAGATGAAATCAAAACACAGTTAAAGGTGATCATATTTGTGGAGTGAATCAAACTATTAAATCTTTACCATCCGACCTCGGAAGCCCACCACTGAGAAAGGTGGAACGGTAGGCTTGATGCCGCCCCTTTGATCAGGGTGGACATAACTCTAATGCCCTTTGAAGGATGAGCGTGCTCATTCCGTTCACGTCACTTGATTTGCTTACCATTTGTCAGAAGCCGCTCGCGATCAACTGGATACTCCTGTAGAAGTGTTGATACGTCATCTTGATTCAGAATGTAGACATCCGAATAACCTTCGGATCGAAGTGATACAGCTCGTTGACTGCCCAGTTGGTTGCCGGCGATCAGAATCACAGACATCTCGCCAAATGTTGCACCGTCAGTGAGCGTCTAAACAAAAAATGCTTTCAATTTTTTGGCGCCCTTAAGAAGTGTAATAGAGAAGCAAATTCCAGCGCAGAGTTTGAGGATTTTTATTGCTGCTCAGTGTTCTCTAGGGGCAGTTCGGCCAGGGCGGCATTTTGCACGTTTGCTACTTCCTGTATTGACCCATTTCTTGAGCTGACAGATTTCACCATGGCAGCTCGATAGCTCGACGAGCTTGCTCCAGCTTCACAAGAGTTCACAGGTTTCACCAGAGTGAGACCTGTAAACCGGAACTAGTGAAGCAGCAAAAGTGCAAAATGCCCCCCCCTACTTCGCCGAAGTGTGCCGTTTTCTGCTTTGCTTTCAACGTTCTAAAGCTCGTAAGTTGTAGTAAGCAGTTACTCATTTACTTAGTCAAACTATCTCAAGTTTCCTCGATGGACAACAAGTACATGCAGCACATACAGTTATGATCCCTGCTTGCGATACCGTGCGTCTCGGAGCGCAGTGAAGGCGCCATTTTTCCACCAATGACGCTATCCTGAGCCTGTTACAATTGTGGGGAAATCTTCTGGGAACGGCTAGACTCCACGAGATTCAGCCTGACGCCACGACGCCGCCTACAATTACCGGCCCCCTAATTTTGGTCAATCGTACGGTCTGTGCCGACAGATTTTTCCGTCGCAAACCGTCGTTTTGCCATAAGTTCCGTAGACGTGGTCCAAATTGTCTGGCAATCACACTGATGGATAGCTGAGACCACGACAATCCAATGGGTCTATTGAACCCTTCAATTTTGGTTATTAAGTTTTGTTCGCCTTATTTCTGACGATTTCCACTGTTGAGTCTCCAGTTACCGTAGGTGTGACCTGGGGATACGACAGCGTTGTAAACCCTCCAGTCCTACAGCGAATTTCAAGTTGAGCATCTAAAAGTTAGAGATACCAACATATTTGGGGAGGGCTCGTTTCCGTGATCATTTTGATACAGGTTTTGATAAGATTTCGGTGAAATTCAGCGCTAAATTGACGTTTTCCCTAAGAGCATGCAAGAAATACATTTTTTCCACCTATGGCAACCTGGCACCCCTTCAGATCACACCTCTATGGGTTTTCGTCAGAAAAGTATCAAATTCGTCATAAGAGCACTTCAACACAAGTTCAAAAGCATGGTTATTAAACTGAATCTCATGATTTTCTCCAAATTTGAACGTGTACTTCTTGTCATCTATTGTAGTGGCGGCGAAGTCGCTAAAAGGTTGTGGATTTGGTTCAGTGCTGAATAGAAAACTCAGCATAAGTTCCATCGTAGGCTAGCAATTCTTCCGCAACAAGGCCCTAAACTTCGGTATTTACCCAGTCTGATACAAAAATTACATGTTTGCCATATTTGAATTAGTCCATCATCCTAGCAGGCCAACTACGAAAGCAGGCAAGGAGAGCTCACTTCAGTACACTTGCTGTAGTATCACATAATCAAAAAATTACTGCTCCAGGACACGTTCTCTGTTTGCTACGATGCAACAAATCCTGTACAACGCCACGTTTTCTGTAAAATATGAGAATTGACCGAATTCAAGCGATCCTGTTGAAACCTATATGGACGGACCTGTAAGAAATCTATCCAACGATGTAAAAATCATTTACTATCGACAAAATAACTTCTTTCATCAATTTATTCCTTTCGTGGGCTGGGCTGGGCGACTAGTCTCTATTACATTTCTGCGCTTTACGTAGAATTGCAGATTCATGCAGAAGTTCCATATCGTTGAAACCAGCTCGTCGAGCTGTTCTCAATAGTGTTTTCGAATCATGGAAATATCTCAGTTTGAGCATCCGATCCTACCGAAGTACCTAAGGGGACCAATTAACGAGCGCCGCCGCTTGCCCTAATTCTCACCAGCGGGGATAAGGTTCCACTACGGGCGCTTGACATTAGCGCTGTGGTACATCACTGACTACATGGCTACATTCTTTCGAAAAGTATATCGAAAATCTTGTGTTTCACCGCAATGGTGGCCAGCCACTTACGCAGCTGAACTTTCCAAACTCATACGCGTGGCCCGATTCAAATAATGGCTTTGTCATTTTCATGCTACTGTACTTTTCAGATTGAGAAAGTAACACTTGTGGACTGAGATCTGACGTGCTTTAAACAAATATTTATTCTGTGGAACTGATTCTACAGAATGCCAGCGCTTCACTGTGTTTCCTCTAACAGCTGAAAATTTCAATTTTCAAGAGAATCCATTTTCGGGAAGGACATCAGAAAACTATATCAACCGGTATTAAGGGAATAGCTATTCGTGCACATGAAGCTATTGAAACGACCTCCACAATGTATTTAAGTCTTGTGCCATCTACTCTAAGCAGCCAAGCCTATCGCCTCCCTGAATAGCTGGAATCAAAATACACATAAAACAAATCATTTCACAAGTCTCAGCGATTAGGTTGAAGAAATTGCTTGTCTAGCACCGAAGTTCAATTCAGTATCGAAGTGAGAAGCATCGTTCGAAGAAAGCTGTATTTTCCTCGAGCAACTTTATTGCGAAATTGTACTATCACTATGCGCTAATTTCAAGTGCCTGTAGTGGAACCTCAACCCCCCTGGTGATAATTAGGGCAAGCGGCGCTCGTTAATGGTCCCCTTAGGTACTTCGGTAGGGTCGGATGCTCAAATTGAGATATCATGATTCGAAAAACCATTGAGGAAAGCAGCTCGACGAGGCTGGTTTTTCACGATATTGAAAAACTTCTACATGAATCTGAATCAATTCTATGTAAAGCGCAGAAATGTAATAGAGACTAGTCGCCAACCCCAGCCCACGAAAGAATAAATTGATGAAAGAAGTTATTTTGTCGATAGTAAATGATTTTTACATCGTTGGATAGCATTTTTCTTACAGGATCCGTCCATATAGGTTTCAATAGGATCGCTTGAATTCGGTCAATTCTCATATTTTACAGAAAACGTGGCGTTGTACAGGATTTGTTGCATCGTAGCAAACAGAGAACGTGTCCTGGAGCAGTAATTTTTTGATTATGTGATACTACAGCAAGTGTACTGAAGTGAGCTCTCCTTGCCTGCTTTCGTAGTTGCGCTCACCGGCAATGGACTAATTCAAATATGGCAAACATGTAATTTTTGTATCAGACTGGGTAAATACCGAAGTTTAGGGCCTTGTTGCGGAAGAATTGCTAGCCTACGATGGAACTTATGCTGAGTTTTCTATTCAGCACTGAACCAAATCCACAACCTTTTAGCGACTTCGCCGCCACTACAATAGATGACAAGAAGTACACGTTCAAATTTGGAGAAAATCATGAGATTCAGTTTATTAACCATGCTTTTGAACTTGTGTTGAAGTGCTCTTATGACGAATTTGATACTTTTTTTTTTTTTCTTTTTTTTTTGTTTTCTTTCTGAACCCGAAAACCCAAAAGAGGTGTGATCTGAAGGGTGCCAGGTTGCCATAGGTGGAAAAATGTATTTCTTGCATGCTCTTAGGGAAAACGTCAATTTAGCGCTGAATTTCACCGAAATCTTATCAAAACCTGTATCAAAATGATCACGGAAACGAGCCCTCCCCAAATATGTTGGTATCTCTAACTTTTAGATGCTCAACTTGAAATTCGCTGTAGGACTGGAGGGTTTACAACGCTGTCGTATCCCCAGGTCACACCTACGGTAACTGGAGACTCAACAGTGGAAATCGTCAGAAATAAGGCGAACAAAACTAAAAACCCAATAATTTGAAGGGTTCAACATGAACCATTGGGATTTCGTTCGTGGTCTCAGCTATCCATCAGTGTGATTGCCAGACAATTTGGACCACGTCTACGGAACTTATGGCAAAACGACGGTTTGCGACGGAAAAATCTGTCGCAAACCGTCGATTGACCACAAATTAGGAGCGGTATTGTAAGGAGAGGCGGGCCCCGCGATGTTTTCGCTATGTGCGCGGGGTTTGCATAGTCCATTAGATTTCCAACAGTCTGCTTTATTACTTGCAGGTGTGAAAACTATGAAAGGAGTGGGCCCGATGTTCAACATTAGTATAAAACAATGTCCATTACCTAGAAATGAATTATTTAGAGAACCCAGCCAAACTAAAAATTTATTGCAAAGTAATCCTTCTTTTGCACTCCTTTGTAAGGTACTGTAGAGGCCTAAGATTTGCGGCCAGACGGGAAAAGTAGGTAGTATTGAAGAAATACAGCAATCCGTTGAATAAATAAAAAAAAAAAAAAAACATACACTGCCCATTCAAAAATATTGATGTCCGCATTTGAATATCTTGGTTGGCACAAAATCCAACCAGATTTCATGATGCCAAGAAACTAATGTGAAGGCAACCGGGATCTTAATCGCACGACTGTATGGGTCTCGTCCAATCACGGCGGCAGTCTCCGCGCGCGGCGAGGCGAAAAATGCAGCCGTGACCTTTCGTGGAGTCCGCTAAAGCTACACCCGGGAATGCTGATCTGGCGCGCGTCTAAAACATCTCTAACAATCGTGTTTTACCTATAGATGCAAGGCATCATTACTGTTTATAGCCACGATTTCTAGCAACTAGCAAAGAGCTCTCTGTTGCAGCATCAGCTAGTATTGAATTTTTAGAGTTGACCAGACACATCGATTCGCTAGATGAGAGGATTTGAATGTCAGTGAAATCGCTCACCCGATAGCCGGTGTCCATTCTCCTCATCAAATTACGTCGTATGTTCCACGCTTCACTATGAACATCTCCTAAAAGAATAAGAACTGAACGAAACTACTGGAGAAGTATACGAAAAAGAGTAAATGTGCAATAAACGTAGCCACTATCGGGATAGAAAATCTCTTCAGTCTCACCTTGGCGCGTTCACCAGCTCTAAAGAGGTAGTCGTTTGGGCTGAATATTTGCTGCTTGATTCGGAGCACCACTTCATAAAGGAAACCGGCGCTGCATTGCTGAAATTTCAAGATTTTAATGTTTATTTTCCTGTGGCAAGGGATACAATTCAAGCACAGCATTGGAGTGTCAACCCTTCCCGAAAGTTTTTCCAATTCACAGCGCGGTCGCCCGCCCCAAAACTACCTGTGAGTGTGAGTGAAAGGGGGGGGGGAAATAGGAAGGAGTTGTCATCGGAGTAAACGAAAAAGTTTTTCAAGAGACATGTAGAGGCATGTGTACCCTTCTTTCCAGCGACCGAGTAGGACCCCTGATGCCACTCTCCTAGCAAAACTGTTGGCGACGTTGGCGGCCCACTACGATGGTTATCCGGAGTTCGTGTTGAAGCTGGTCCGAACTTGCAGTGTGGCGGCCACTGCCCCTCCGAGCTACATTCGAAATCCTTGAGATGAGGTGGGCGTGGCTGCGTACTTCAACTAAACATCGTGGTGGCTATGCTTTTTGGAGAGATATTTTCATTTTGACCCAAATGTGGTCACGTCTCTGTCCAACAAAGAACAAGATGGCGGTTGTCTCAAATTGAAATATCCCACGAGTAACCAGTTCTGTGCCATGTTCGAATGCCACGCCTACCCCGTCTCAGGGATAAGGAGTATATCTACGATCTGCCACTCCCGGACGCGCCCATCCCCCTCCCCCCTCCGTTCCTCCTTTTTCTCCATCCCATTGTCTAAGGGTTATCGGAATACTAGTTTGCAAGATGTTCTTATTCTTTTAGCTGGTATTGTTTGTACCGATAATGAATCAAATCAAATTAAAACTGCCCTCTAGTTTGAACAAAGAACTGTCTCATACGAGGAAGAGGTTTCGATGGGAATGTCTCCAAGGGAGTGTGTCTTCAAAATTGCTCAAAATCAACTTCTACTTTTCATTAATGCCTTCAAGTCCAATACCTTGAATAGTTCCACTTTTTTAAGTGTGTCCATGTGGAGGTTGACAGCAATCTGGCCTTGTAGCCGAGGTGGCAATACCTCTATGAGTTCCTGGAAAAGAGGATGTATGTAGTTGAAGGACATATCATAGCCATCCATCAGAACAATTCGTCACTACATGCACAGACAACAGTACAGGGGTCTGATCTATTTTTATTTATTTATTTACACGGTCGAAGGTGCGCAAAAACTATTTAAAAGCATTATATTAGGATAGTAGGAAACAAATGATAGCAAAAACTGCATATGGGGCTTAAGTGTTCAAAACCTCAGACAATTCGTCACCGCTAAAGTAAGTCAGGGCGTGTAATCTGGCACGGGTTCTGGCGCGGCGTTAGTCCATCGATCGGCTTTGGGCGTTCAATGAGTGGTGGGAAAAGGGCCACTGCCGCTCCCCACTTCGCCGCCCCGAGTGGCTTCAGTGGTAACGACCGTAGATTGCCTGGTGTTATTGTGATACAGTAAATTTTGAACAAAAACAGCACTCAGCTAATGTGTTTTATGGCCTTCAGCCAGCATGTGCGAAGACAACTGCGCAAGCCAGGAAGTTGTCCTTTGAATTACTGGGGTCCTTGCATCAGAAAAAGCGCTGCACTCGCATCCTGCCTAACTCATGACCTTGGCAGACTCAAACTAGACAGGACGACTCCACAAATCTAAAGACCGAGTAGAAACAGGGGAAAAACCGCTACAAACCAAAGTGTGACTCGCTCTTGTAATGTATTGGGAAAAATATAAACAGTTTTTGTATATGTTTGTTCCACCCGCTGTATTTAACATGGATATTATTCCATCATTATTCATTCATTTCCTTCCAAAATTAAAGGTAACCATTAACAACCCTGGGGGATGGGCGCATCTGTAAGCGCTAGCGCCCTGTAAGCCTTGTTAGCACCTGTCAAGCATCCTGTAAACTCTTGTCAAACTTGACAGAATGCTTTTGAAAAAATGGCGTTCTAATAACACTAGTACCATTTCCACTTCGCCATACATGACAGCAGTCTACAGGGTACTTAGGAATTTAAAGGGCTCACCATTGTGAAAAGGCAAAAGAAGAAAAGACGAAGACAAAAGCTCGAAAAGCTGCTCACGCTTCTCCTTCCCCCCCACCCTCATCAATTCCCTCAGATTATTTGGAACAGACAGCTGTATCTGTATACCAAAAATAGACTGCTACCTCATGTGAAACAATTAATATTAGGTTGGCGGGAAAGTTCTGTCACATTTTTTCAAATTAGACTTTCTTTTTACAGAGAGGCGTACAAGATCAAAATTATACAGCAATGTTATTGCGAGATCCTTGCCAGTTTTTGGGCACTTCGTGGGCCATCGCTTCACAATGCACGCCGGCGCGACGCAAAGTTGGACATCATCTCAACTTTGACTTGGGCTCAAGTCGTGGAGGTTTTCTCGGCTGTATAACGGTTGAATACGGGAGGCGACTAGCAGTCAGAAAGAGCAATGTCTGGACTACACCGGTGCAAGGGTAGAGCCGTCCAGCTCTATAGCATGGCTTCGGCTCGAACTTTTTTGGACGGAGTGGGCCACACCAGCACGTTGAAGACGGACTGTGCCGGCGAATTTTTCCCTCTGCTTGACGATTCGCTTCAGATCTCGTAGCTGCTTTGCGTACGATTGACCGAGGAGGCAGCTTCTTCATCCAGTAGTTTCCCGGCCCACAGCTATCTCAAGCTGAGATCACAGGTACTCCCAAACCTCACTTCGTCATTCAAACCGTAGGCTCCCGCTCTGGAGCGCTACCGTCGTGGAAGATCGTCTGATAATTGGAGACATTGTCCTTATGCAGCTCCATTATTTCGGCGTCGACAGCTGTCATGCTGGCGCCAGGGTGGTAGAAGAAAGAGTTGAAGGAAGCGCTTGAAGGGGTCGTGCCGAAGGTAGCGGATAACATTCTTGTCCATATTGCAGAATAAGGAGAAGCAGGAGTCGAGCCAGTGATACCAATAGAAAGACCAATCCTTGATGTATAACTGCTCACATTACCGGTTAACCCTCTTCAGGTAATAGGCAAATACTTGACAAAACTTTCCCGCCAACCTAATATAAATTGCAACTGATAAACAAAACATGCCCTTTCATCCTTTAACTGATGCTGTGAATGCATATAGGTGAAGCAGGAAATAACTCGCTCCTGGATAGCTGGTGTTACCATTCTGGAAAATGCATAACTTAGCGGGTATTTAGAGAAGAAGAAAACTTCGGGGAGGAAATAAAACTAAAGATTTACCGATATTTCATGTAAAATTTGATACCGTCCATTTGTTGTCGGAAGTCATAGACTTCTTCATTCATATGTGTTACAACACTACCAACACCACCAATAATGGTGGCGAACACTAGCACACCTATCAATGTGTCTATCACTTCAAGCATATTTTGTGATGATGTCGATGGATAGGGCTGAAAATATCGAGCTTTGAGAATACTCGGCCGAAATTGAAACATAGCTGTTGAATATATAAGCACAACAGAGAAGTCTTGATTAGCACTAGAGTTCACACCCATTCAGTTCTGGTGGTGGTAGGCTGGGAGTGTCTACTTCCCTCATTCGGGATTGGTGTTGCTTTCCTTCGGGTTTCGTCAGAATGACGAAAGCAAGAGAGATTTTGCAGGGCAACTTTGAAAATTTTAGCCATGTTCAGCTCTTTGAACGAGGTTTCAATAGATATCCCACCTCACATCCTTCAACCTCTCTTTGGCAAAAATACCATATTTTAATGGCACTGTTACCACCTTGGAGGGCGCTAACCTGATTCCTTAATCCCTGATTGGACTACGATAGACTGAAACAATCAAGGGGTAGGGTACATGGTAGATTAGCCATTTTGATATTGGGAACTCCCCCTTGCACATTCAAACGTTTTGCACATCATCACTCACACATCCCAGAACACCCTACTTTCCCCCACCAGGACGCCTTAAAGGTTTCTGCCTACCGTAACCCATGAAGAAAATTGCAGACTGAGCGCTTCAAAGAACCATCGAGCCCCAACTGTTACATAACGTTGTGAGGGTGAACTCATCTATGTCACAACTGTACATGCTATTATGTCCAGCAGGAGTGTGGCCGAGCATTGACTCGGGCTTGAACGTCGCACAGAGTGGACTTTAGAACTATTCTAGTCGAACCTTAAGCCTTCGCTCATTGCTTGGTTGATTAGAGCTGGGAATGCTTGAAATCTTAATTATCATTGCCATGGAACGCTTTTACAGTTCTACGCTCGAACTGAACGCATAGCGGGACTCGGAGGCAAGTGGAAAAGGAAATGCACTGCCTCTGTTGTTCGAGAGACAATTGAAATTAATTCAAAAGGGTGATTTGATGAATACATACCTGCTGACCACAAGTAGTTATGGTAAGAGCCGACCAATAAATGCTCATGCTATATTCACGAGAAAAATTACCCATTTCCCATTTCACAAATCTGAACCATATTAAAATAAAAGTCGATGTGAGTGCAAACGGATGTGTTATGGCTCCGCGGACTTCAAGTCTATGAAATGATCGCCATCATCATTATCGTCCAGAGCTTGAAAGGCCCTCAAAGGTGAAGGTAATTTTTAGCCGTTTTTGTACTAGGTTGTCCGGAAAGTTCTCAGCCTTTGAGGGGTT